TTGGGCAGCACTGGGTTGGGATGTTTTCTTGATGTGCACTTAACTTTTACATAAAACTCTCTCTAATACATGAGTTTCTGTGGATTTGTTTCTCTAAAGTACCCAGACCAATACACTCTGCAATGTACACCATATCAGAACAGCAGCTTTAGCATCCTCAGGAGACTCGGAGCATGTTCCTTTTCAACATTATTTGAGTTTGGGGAGCAAAAGGAAGTCTGAAGGGGCAAGGACCCTAGTCTGAGGTACAACATCCTGAAGGGTGGGTGGAGTGAGGTCTCCCAATAGAGTTCTTGTAAGATGACCCTGGCTCTCCTTGAAGAATGAGAGGTGCATTGTCTTGATGGGGAGCTATGCCTTGTTGCAAAGTCCCGGGCCTTTTTCTCACCAATGCAATTTTTCATGTTCTTAAAATTTCTTCATTAGAAGGCCCTATTATCAGCTTGTGTTATTCAAGAAAATCTATCAAGATTACCCTGTTGGAATCCCCCCCACAAAAAAACCCCAAAATATTCCCCATAACATTCTGAAAAAAAAGAAAGTAGAGGGGAAGCAAGAAAGAGGAAGCCCCTCAAGAAGATGGATTGACACAGTGGCTGCAGCATTGGGCTCTAACATAAGAACAACTGTGAGGATGGAGCAGGACCACCTGGCATTCATTCTGATGTAGATAGGGTTGCTATGAGTCAGAACTGCCTTGACCACACTTAACAACAACATAACATTTGGAGCTCACCTCTGCCTTGAATTTAACTAACCCAGCGGATTCCGTGTGAAAGCCATTCTTTTGGTTGACTTTTTTTTTAAGGCATCTTAACAAAAGACAAGTGTTTTACGGAGTGAACTTGACTGAAGCCAGCTGGTGATCACAGAAACATATTTAAATATGATGTGTTTGGAATAAAGTCATGTACATACGAATTGGAATCCTAGTAGCATCACGTGATTACTTCCCGCTGTATGTGCCATTTAGGCTTGTTGAAGGACTGGCAATGTTAGATGGA